TTGTGTTGTTTATTTTACCTCCCAATTTGTTGGTCAAACAATTTTTCAATATCATTTTGTGATGCATTAAAAATGACAGGTTTTTATCAATTGTTTCTGAAGTTAGAAAGTAATTAACGGGCTCCCTTTTTAATAGTAGTTAGCAAGCATTTACTGTATTCTAGGGGCTTCGTCTTCCGGGAAATGTTCAAAATCGCCGCGTAACCAAGCTACGTGACTAACTCACGCACTACAAATTTTTTAAATAGGGTTTCTGGTCGTTGTTAATAGAGTTAAAAATATGATTTTGCGTGTTTATTAACTTTTCAGATGAAGTCTTCTCGAATTGTCTTCCGTAGCTTATGACCCATTGTGTGCATGGTTCATAAAATGCGGCATTTTATAGTGTCACATGTGCTGCAAATGGCAGCACAAACAGTTGTGCGCTCAAAGCCGATGAATATACACTCACATTTATTCTGTTTCCACATAGCTCCTAGTTTCAATTTTGTGTTTCTACTTGCGTTTAATTAAATTCTTCAAGTATACAATCGCTTGATTCAATTTATTCAATTATAGACGCTTCATTCAATTGTTCAATTCCAAGCGCTTAATTCAATTATTCAGTTGCAGACCCTTCATTTTGTTCTTTGATTTTACGCGTTTCATCACATTTGGTACGTACGTGTGAATATTTGTCTGCTTAATCTATGTGAATAAATGATATGAAATTGATGTGTAACATCGCCAATATTTCATCTAACATTCACAAAAATAGTAATTCTATATTAGTTTATTTTGCTAAAATAGCGAAACTTTTTGGGTTCATCATACTAATCGCACCATTGGTATATTTTATTTATTTATACGCCCTCATTGTCAGATGATGCAAGGCTTTGGCTTAGTCACATCCCTTCTGAGAACCTCGAGAGGTAATCATAATTTTATTTATTGCATATCAAGGCCCGTTTCTTGTATGATCGATGTTATCAAGTCTTTCATTCGACTGCTCCAAGAAATCCTTTTACGTTGAATGAAGACCGACATTTTCTCGCCCCCGTCGCTGCCATATTAAGTGCCGCGATAAATTGTACGTAGTGTTTATGGATTGCCTGTGTTTCTATGTCCAGATGAGAATACTGAATTTGGGCTGCAGGACATTGCGCTGAAACACTATCCTAAATATTCTAAACATGCTCAAAACAAATTTAGCAACATGGATCTACGTCAATCTTCTCAACACGAATCGCGTATCCAGCACGCTCTAAGGATTGCATAGCAGACTGATTTAGTTCGAAATCAAATATTGACCTAACCTAATGAATGAAATGCTTCCTGATCATTTAAATATCCCATCATCAGACCAGCATAAACGTAAGCCCACGCGTAGCGCTGACCTTTGCTTGATGTATGACATTGAAGAGTTAAGAAAATCTGACTTCTCAAAATATTATCGTGAATAGAATACATGAACGATTGCGCCTTTGCTCTGACGCTGCAAATATTCCGGCGAGTCAAGAAATCGGCGTCTGGCTTCATGACGCACACACTCCATCTATCCTTCACGTCGAGGGAAGATGAGGGGGAGGAGGGGTGGGGGTGGGAAGAAAGGCGTCAGTCCGACGGACAATATTGAAGTGGAAATCAAGGTTCAGACCAGCGCGTACTGCGTGAACTACTCTGAGATTTCATCACAAAATTGTCACTAACGGGAATTTACCCCTTCAAATCAATAGGATATTCACTTCTAACTGATGACACCACCGAAACATGAGTGATACGTTCGAGTTTTATTGTAATTTTTGTGTAATGGAAATACTAAATTATAAACTATTTTGATAGAACTGTGTCGTTCGACGTTTTATGGACGAATCTAATGTAATCTCAAATACAAATGATGATGAATGTCATATAGCTCATTTTTGAAGAAATTTTCATGCATTTAGAGGGCAAAATTTTTCCGTGTTTCCAGTGGTAATCAGATTCATAGAGCGTCAAAAATCCGCGGTTTGGCACAAGGGAGGAAGCGGACTGAGTCTCGCCAACCCTGAGGCTGTGGCTCCGAGCCTCTGGCGCCAAACGATTGTAACCTCCCCTCCCTTTTCATATCGTTTCTTCCTCGCCCTTCTTATTCTCTACTGTATAACGTTTTAATTTCTTGCCTGTCGAGTCAGGTTCTAGCCTGGATACTTTTACCAATCTGGGAAGACACATAAACTTCGATCGTGGAGGACTGGACTGTTGCGTAAAAATTATTTTGTCGTTGTTTTGCAGCTATTATTAACATGATAATCGGCTGCTGAGCTTGAAAAATATCATTTGATTTAGTCTCGAATTTATCAAGTAACAATGAGAAAATATTGCAGGCAATATTTTTTGAAAGCTTTCATTTGTATGACTTTTCCTAACTTAAAGAGTGGGAGAAATTCCATGACGACTTGGTTTATTTTGTCCAAATGCAGTATATGCGGCATCTTTATTTGCAGCTCTGAGATAAAGACAGCGTTGTGTGTGCAGGTGTTAGTGTTTTGTCCCTTTGTACCCTAAAAATTCCAAGCTGTAAATTTCAAAAGACTGTCACGCGCTGTAGTATTTCATTAGTTTCTCTTGACTTGTGAAGAGCAGCTTCGGTTTTTCATGTCTTGTGTCAGGTTTATTTTTAGAGATGACTTCTATTGGCCCAGCTAACGTAGTTGACTTTTGTCGTACGGCAAAAGTAAAAATGAACTGTCATTCGCACCCCAATAAGCTCAATACTTTTTTCGCACTTAATAGTGAGGAAAGCGGAGCTTAGTAACTGTTCATTCAGAAGGGTGAATGGCACCGATATTCCACCTAGCATTGAACGGAATTTATCACTGGCGATAATTTAGCGATGTCATTGAATAAGTAATTTCAGCGTTATATCTTTCGTACCGAAGCTATAGCATTTTCTTCAGTTGTCAACGGCCCTGCGTGGACTGGTCAAATACGTAATTATTATCTATGTAAGATTACTATTTGATGATCTTTGTTTGTTTTTAGTGCTGTAGGAGCTGCACTGCTACTTGCATTCCAGTGCAATACTTGCTTTATTTAAAATTTACGTTGGTTACAGAACCGTCCAATGCTTCGAAATGAACCAGTTTATTTAAGCCTCCACAGTGCATATCTATCTCTACGCTCAGTTTAAGCATAACACTGAGTTTTATTACGATCATAAGTGAGAGTATTGCTAGCGCTGAAGGGCCTTTAAAGTAATTGCTAGATCAACACACATCATGGCCACCTATGGTTAGGCTGGCCACCACTCGCCAGGTAACCAGCCAGACGTCCCGCCGCTCTCTGCCGTCTGTCGCCGCTTGATTGTTCGCTGTCTATTGCGTAGTATACTACTAAGAGAATAATTCAGCTAATCAACAATTTTTTTTGTATAATGAACGTTGCAGGTTATATTTGTTGCCTGAGATCGCAAACTTTAATATTATTTATTTATTTTTTTAAGTTTACTGTCTATTGCGTATTGAATTATTCCAGCAATAATTCCGATTATGAACCATTTCTGGAACTTTGGTGTATGTGAAAAGTTGTTGCTTTTGTTGCCTGAGACCATAAAGTATAAGATTATTACCTATTGTTTTACTAATTTTTGCTTAACGATTTTGCGTTTTTCTTGACTTATTCGACATGCAGAGCACCAATTCACTTATGTAGCATACGTATATGTGGAATCTTATTATTCAACACCTGGTCTATAGAGGTAATCCACTATGTGGGCCACGTTCGTACGTTTGGGCGCGTAGTTATTTTGCCGCCAGTGCAGTTGTCATACGGCGCCGGCGTGTCGGTGAGAAGGAACGTTGCTGATAACTTGCTAGGCGCAGCAGCAATGACGACGCTTCTCTCAGCTGCATTTGGTGCCATCACAACATCCATGCTCGGTGCTACAATAATCATGTCGACTTGGACTCATTGACTCACGACATGATAAAATAAGAATGCCAAAACAAACATGCTACCAGCAACCAACACTTGTATCTACTTTCTAGGCCATACGTCCAAGATATTCGGATACTGTGATGCTGCTGGTGATTGCTCGTACTTTTTATAAATGATTTTAGTATGAATAATCTCACATTCTGTTTCATGGCCTTGTAATTAATTTTGTGCGTACTAAGGACCAGTCTGAAATTTTTGCAACAGGCCGTGCATTCGATATTATTTTTGAACATTATTTTTCAGTATTGATATTGTTAGCATATTTTTACTTATAAATTATTGGAGCCGTACGATCGATAGCTTAACGATTATAGCTCGTGGCTGACAACTGCGTAGGTTATTAGTCGTTTCGTACCATTCATGTGTGACTATCATAAACTCGAACTTGTACAAATGCCCTTTACCAAAAGAAACCTGTTGACGAAGGTTAGACTGCTTCGAAATTGCTGGAAAACGTGTATTCTATTATGGCGCGCAAACTTGAAGGATCTATGGATGCAAATTACTTTGCACATCTTTTGATCTTGCTTCTATTGGCTGGAGTAAGGAAACTATTTTCTTCGAGGTTCCAACACGGAAAAACTTAGCTAAAGAATTTTTTTATGTTAAAAATCCCCGAGCTAAATAATTTTTTTAAGTTAATAATCCTCGAAGTTTTGGTGGTTAAGATTAATCTTATATTTTTTGTATGCCCTGGTAATAAGTCTACAGTCTTGTCTCTTTGTCGATCTACGTATCTACGAAGAACATTTGTTTCATCGTCATGCAGTATTTGTATTTACGAGTAAATAACATGTTCGTCTTGATACATCAATTGTATTTGTCCGTTAATCCTAACCAATGGACTAAATGTTCGTCTTCATGCAAATTTGTACTTGTCGATCGAATTCACATGAATAAATAACATGTTCGTATTCATTCTGTATTTCTATTTTTTTATTAAATTCTCATAAATAAATAACATGTTCGTATTAATGCAGCATTTGAATTTGTCGACCGAATCCTAAAAATTCTATATAAATAAACAATCGTTTCTTTCGCAGGCGGCTGGTGCAGTGTTCGGTACTGGGAGAAGAGCACGCGGGTCGGCGCAGCGTTCGAGGTAGCGAGTGACAGCGTGAGTGTGGTTGGCAGTAGCGCCTCCTTGACGGTTCACAGCGGCCTCTGCCTCAACCTTCTCTCCGCCTCCCTCTCCAATACTTCGCAAGAGGCACTCAAAATCAAAAATAAAATAGGCCCAGGTCAGTATTACGCCATTAAAATTAAATGGAGTCATGGATGAAAGCCTCTTCAAAAATTATTGCATGTTCATAAGCTTAGGTCAGTATTAGACAGTTGAAATTGAACAAAATCATGATGAACAAAGGCTTCATCGAAAAGTATTGCATGTACTTAAGTCTAGATCAGCATTAGACAGTTGAAATTGAACGAAATTATGATGAATAAAGGCTTCATCGAAAAATATTGCATGTACTTAAGTGTAGGTCTGTATAAGACAGAATCAATTGAAATCATGAGTAAAAGCTTTATTAAAAGTTAATGCAGGTACTTGTGTCTAGATCAGTATTAAACCTATTAAACCAAATGGAATCATGGTCAAAATATTTTCAAAAAAGTGTGGCAAGAACTTTTGGTTCATTCGGTAGTTAATAGTTCATATGACGATACCTTGTATAATATTCACGAGTCACTTTTGAATTTCAACCAAAGACCTTCCTATTAAATAATCGTTGGTATTATCTACTGTTTCAACGTTCATTAAAATGTTATATTACCACTCAAGTTCTCTTTGAACTCAAAAAATATTTTTCAATTTAAGATTTACATATGATATTTACATTTCAAATTTTGTCAGCTCACTTCTGAGTGTCAACTTTACGCGTGCTATGATATATATATATAACTAACACCCATGCAATATTCACGTGTTCACTGGAAACAAGTTAAATCTAACATGCATGTTCTTTTTGACAGGTATTTTAATATGTCGCGAGGACTCGGAGGTGTGGCTGTACAATCAATCCAACGTAGATGTATTCGTTTCATCACCCGCCCTCCCAGAATCCATTGAAGATACCTCGAGATTTGACAGCCCATCGGTACGAAAAATAAAACCCGGACACACGTTGAAAATATTTAGTTTTGATTTAGTAGATAGTCTGTCGAGGATTAGCGCCAAAAGATCGCGACTCTGCGGTCGTGTCGATGTATTTTGTGTTAACGTCTCTTTTTGTAAAGGTTTCGGTTCCAGTTATAAGCGTAGAGAAATAACAGCTTGTCCTTGCTGGCTTCAGTTGCATTTGGAGCCTCCAAGATGATGGGAGGAAGTTACCTCCGTATTCTGCATGCACATGAATACGGCCAGCAATTTTACAATCGAACTCCTCATAACAGGTATGGGAAAAAACCATACCCAAATAGGGCTACAATGCCTCTTTTTTTTTTAATTGGTAAAGTGAGCAAGCCTAGAGTTAATTCTAAGTCGTAAATACGCACGCTTGTAATACCAGTATAAGGAAATAATCCGCGCCACAGTTGGGGCATTAAAACGAATGCCCTACATTCGAGAACTTGTCAGCAATTTTCCCAAAGGACCGCGTACATTAAAACTGACGTAATTACCAAGATGATTAGTTCGTGCATGAATAATGGCCTAGCACGAATAAGCCTTGTTCACTGTGAAGGTGCTTCAAGAATGAAATGAAACCTTCAATTAAAGAAGCACTTGTCGCTGATTCGACTACTGTTGCCAACGAGATGAGGCTTAGACTGTGATGCTTCTCGAACATGAATGAAAAGATATAAGTTAGTGTATACAAACAAAGGACACGTGTCTTGCCTTGGAATGTAGGCTGATGTGTAAGAATTATAACGTATTCGCAAAGCGGATAAAAATATGACCACAAGGCTTGCTTGTGCCGTCATGAAGCAAGCTATTATTACATGGTGCCAAACGATCCGTGAAATGAGCCGGAGTTTTCTTCAGATCAGAGAAGACATGGCAGCTGCCCATCCGTAAAATACGTTATCAACTTGATGGACTAGCCGAAGCAAATGGTCTTATTTTATACGATTGCAAATTCAGCTGTGGCCTCTAGGTCAATACTTTATTGTCTCCCACTGTTTTCCATGTCTTTTATAACATTTTAATTGCGCGCTAATATGTTTTCAATTATTTTGAAGGTAATGAGTCAGATTATTCAATTGACTGTCTTTCCATTGTCGAGAATTTGTGTACGGTATTTGTAACCTGACATAGTTTAAAGGGCACGATTCGACCGAATGGCTTGCCAATGTAGACGTTGCCCAAGTCGACTTGCGCGCTCAGTGAACGAAGCAGAACAGTGTACTCCAACAATTTAAAAGCGAATTCAGTTTTTTAAAAGAGCAAAGAAAGCCCAATAAACAAGTATCATTTATTTACTGAGATAACAAAGATAAATATTCCGTACTCTTTTCTGGTCAAACTAAAGAGCCGGATTGGTTTCTTGTAAAAATAATCGGTTGGTTTGCGAATAGAATTGCAGCATTTTGGTAGCCTTGCTTCACAAATTAGAATTGTTGGAGGATTGTTTCGTGTTATTCATGAGTATGCAGGTCTATGTCGTTTTTATGCTGTGAATGTGTTTTCAATGTTTTTGTCGTCCTCTGATAAAAGAAAATAATTTTGTATGCCTTCATTTTAAGCAACATCGCTGTTAACATGAAGCCTTTTATCAACACCCCGCTGCGTTCCATCCATTAATGTAGCGTGCTGTTTTTTAATCTCTTGGAGTATTAGATAGAATATCGAAGAACGATATTCTCATACTCAATACTCAGTAGGATTCTTCTACTTCATCTTCAGTTATCACTTACTTCATATGAACCCTTGCTTTACAAGCTGTCCTCAATATGAATCGTAAATTCTAGATCTGATTTTTAATAAGCAGGTAAGCCTACGTGTGTGTATCTTCAGAAAGTTGCCTATTTTTCTTACAATTTAAATATTGTTTACATGTCACCCACCGAGAGCGTGCGATAATTATATTCATAATTATTACCGTCTAATTGAAATTATGATTCGGTTTGTATGGTTTCTTGTGAGGTTCATTTGTTGAATTGCTTGAACCGAAGCTGTCGCTCTTGCGAAAAAGGGTCTAGTCGATATTTCTATTTTGTCTTAAGTATGGGTTGATTTTTTTCTACTCATAGCGTCATAAATGGCTTTCATTTTATTGTTTTCATAACACCTAGCGCTGAATTTTCTTTTTGGTCACAAAATATGCCAACTTTGAGAACGATGATTCTGTTCCAGTAATTTTAAATTAATCGAATCGCGACTGAAGCAACAGTTTTCGATCGACTGTAGCCAGCATTTTATCTCTAGATTTCCTGCAGGAAGAAACAAGCCTAAAGTACTCAGGTGCATAAATCCTACCGTCTTCTGCAGTCAGTTTTCATAATATTCTCTCCAGCTTTTATTCTATATATAGACCCACTTGTTATTATTTTCATTGTTACTCTAAATCAGTTTAGCTACGAGTTTATTTTTTGTATCATGCTTACTTTAAAAAAAATGTAGTCGATTGACAATTTGCTGGTAATCTATTCAATTTTATTTATCTGCACTGAGGCATTAGCTGTTGATAAATCGGGATCAACTCTCGTTCTATCCGGTATGTTTCTTACTGGTTGCGATAATTCCAAATTTTCCTTTGGTCACGATGGTTGAATTCATTGTTTTAGTTGAATTTAGGATTTTATTCTAAACACCCAGCAATTGTTGGTGCTCGTTAATGATAGACTATAAATCTTCTAGTTGTCTGGAGGCAAACGCCCATTTGCATTATTGGCTGCATTTTCTAGCAGATTGGGTGTTGAGTCGTAATCCTGATGGTGCTAAAAAGAGTAGACATAAGTGTACTTAGCTGCGTTTTCTTGGCGGTGGAAATGATACACGAAAATTCACGTAGTTTGGGAGCTTTGAAATATTCTGGTGACAGTGCAATGACAATGAGCAGCCGTTGTAGGATGATGTACAATTTTCCATCATTTTCAAGAGACCATTCAACAGGGGTAAACGATTCCTTGATGAAACGGGTTGTAGGTTTAATTAGGAATGCAATTATTGGATCAATTTCCTTGCAGTAAGCGACTCTTGGAATTACGATGCGAGTCGAGACTCGATTTAATGTCTAAGGAGTTCATATAAATAATGTAAGCAGGTAATAATTGTGATTTTCAATTATAATTTGGTGGTTTTGTACGTCCTTGGAACGTTTAGAATTTCGAATAGCTCATAAACGGCTTAAAAAAGAGTGCACTTAGATCCACTTCCGTGCATATCATTAGCGTAATATTGTTAGGCTTGTAAAGTTCATAGCAAAAGGCAGTTCTTAAGGTATTATACATTGAATTCAACCGCAAAATCGAGTTTCCGTTTCATTGAGGTAAAACCTGTGCAGTTTATAACAACTGCAATTCTGTACACATGTTGGCTTGAATCGTCTATGTTAAACCAAGAATTATGCTCTTTGATGTCTTCTCAATTGTTCAGTTGTTGAGGAGTGTTTTGAAAGCCAACTTGCATCCTAAGTAAACGAATCTTTTCCATTTTTTGTATTATATTTGGATACAACATATGAAATGGTTAACCGACACACATACAGATCATCCCATTTGATTTAATACTGGCCAAGAACGCCGTTCATCATGAATATCTGATTTCGTCTGTGTTTGGGAGCAATTCAATTTACCAAATTTTTGTGCGAAACCAAGAGTGCCTTATAATTTACTCAGTCAGATGACACATTGAGAATATGGGTGGGTCCGGATGACCCATTTTGATAAATCAACCACGCCCAAATAGCTATGCGTTTTTTTTACTCACCCCATTTGTGGGGCATACTGACCCTTTAAATTTCAGGCATGATGCGCTTGTGGCGTCAAATCGCTTTTGACGCCGACCGGAGGACGAATACGTAGGGAGTATCGGAGCGCCAGAGCAATTTAACGCAACATGTGTCTTAAATTTGAAGTGCCAGTAATAAGTCATTATGACCCAAAAATGAGGTAAGTGAGTCGAAAAAGTGCATTGCTTTGTCGAACGCGGTTGATTCATCTAAGTGGGCCATGCACCCATTTCTCTAAGTGCAGCTTTCTAAATAAAGATGTATTGCTATTTAGTGACTTGAACTTGTTGGGAGATCCGAAACCCTAAAAAATTATACTTGGATGCTGCTAGTTGGAGCAGAGCTTGAAATTTGAGGATAACCCATTGAAAAAAAAGGTTACACCTCGTTGATTGAAAATATTACTTGTTACAACGCGTATTTTTGCTTCCACACATCAGTTGCGCTCGAACTTCGTTCGGGCGAGCCGTTCTCCATGCTGATAACGAAGCGGATAACGGAATAAGCGAGCCGTTCGCCATGCTGATCTAATTTTGTCAGTTACGTTGAAAATTAAGCATTAATTTCTCGTTCGCAACTTATTCTGCTACGCATGAGCGATGTCGGGACACATGTGTCTTGAATATTTATATAAACTATATCTTAATATGCAAAATAAATGTCTATTACGAATCATTGTTTGATTCAACCTAATGATTTTTTTTAATAATTATTTGCAGAAAGCAAATCAAATTATATGCTTTTTCATCTTAGAGTACAAACATCAGCACTTAAAGCCTAGAAAATTCGACGAAGCATGGAATTTTAATACGCGAAATTGTACACAAATAACTTGATTGAGTAGACTTGTATTAAGAATTTCAAATAACTCAATACTACGGCTTTGTCGAAGCTATTTCATGTGTAATGAAACGCCAAATTGAAATCGTGGATAATTAATTGAAAAAAGCAGTATCGATGACGAATTACCGTAGAAGTAGACGATTCGTCCATCACAAAAAAATGGAGCTCGGAGCGGGAGCTCCAAACATGTTCTTCCAAGAAGGAGGAACGCGCCACTTCATCTTGGTTACGTCATCCTGTCCAACACAATATAATTATTACCTTCAGGAAGACACAGAAATTTGCTTTCCCTTAAATATTCTGTGAAGTAGTGCGCACTGTGACAATATTCTGCTGTAAATCTACAAGGGTTGGATAATATAAAGAAAATTCCTAACATTTTCAGATCGTGATTTTCGACCACGATATAAACAATGAAACTTATTATGAAGTTCCGTGTTTAATCCGGCCACCACAATGACCAGATCAAAATATTATCGAGCGTTTAAAGTTGATTTTAGATTCCCGTTGCCATTGTCTTTAAACGAACTGGAGGTAGTTTTAACTAAATAAGAGGTTAAACTTCGTTTAGAATCAATACAAAATTTGCACAAATCAATCCTTTGGAAAATTTAGGTAGTAATTGCCGCAAAAGGTGGGCCTACACTATAATAAAATATATTTTGTAATTTTTAATAGTATTTCCGTATGGAATTAGATAATATAACGGGTGGGTGGGATGCAGTCAAAATAATTCCATAAAATTCCTTAAATACATAAAAAATTGGCAAAACGAACACTTTGGAAGAAACTATCAACTATAACAATAGTTGGTAAAACCTCAAAAAAAAAGGAAAATAGGTACATGGATAAGATCTATTAACTCACAGGCTTTGATTCGGAGACGGCAGCGTGGCAGTACGAAGCTAAGGTCATCGCATCGACGGTGTTCTCTCCTTCGTCTACAAACATGAGCAGCGCGATGCACGGCAAGGAGCTGGAAGAATATATATCTATCTTAGAAATTCATTCCAGGCTTGATCCAATCTGTTTTGTTGAAAAAATAAGCAGGAAGAATGTCCATGTTAGAAATTTATTTCTGGCATGAACATTCTATAGTGCGGAGATAATAAGCAGGAAGAATATCCATATTAGAAATTTGTTTCTGGCATGGTATCCAAGATATAGTGTGTAGTGTCTCACCATCACCATGCATCATGACATGTAGTGTCTCACCATCACCATGCATCATGACACGTAGTGTCTCACCATGAGTCAAGAAGTTTTTTTGTCAGCCCAGCTCCAGGTAAAAAGGGCTCCATTTCTCCACGGTCATTAATAAATTCTTCAAGGGCTGGTGGACCCAGACTCCTGAAATAATGAAAATAAGCTTTAGAAAATAAGAATTCAAAGAAAAGCTTCTTCCATTTCATATCAGTGAGAATGCTCATTTTTACAGATATAGGTGAACAATTTTAATTGAAGATAATGTACAGATTTTGTTGTGAAATAAATGAACTTTCTTTGTTCCTTCTGAGAATTTTTCCAATATTATTACTGACAAAAGACATGAGCTGTACACAAATTTTTGAACAGATTATTCTTTAAAAATCATAATTAGCAGAATTTAAATCCATCTACCTTTTATTTGGGTTACTTGTAAATCATTTGTTCTGTTATATGATATCAAAGGGAATGTTGTAGCAGCTCTGGAATAAATTATGATGAACAAAAATGTTCATTTAAGGCCACTTGTTAAATAGACTCTTTGCTTGATACAAACCTAAGGTGAATAATCCCACATATCACACTTCAAGAGGGAAGTCACTCTTGAAATAGCTCAAGTTTGTTATAGCAGCAAACATTAAAACATAAATAATGCAAACACTAATTTCATAACTTGTTTCCATTCATTACCAACTGGCAAGTACTAACACTCACCTTAATTTGATGAGATTTGTTAGGTCAGAAATTTGTGGAAGATGGTAGAATCTTAGAGGCCTTCCAGATAACTGAGCATCACCTCTGTTGGCGGCTTGGCACCCAGCCAAGACCCAAACAATGCTGGTTTCACTTGAGGGCAAGACATCTTGTATGAACTTGTTCAAGGCTTCTACAAATTCTTGACGTTTGCCCTGAAAATAATAATCTACTTTAGGCCTGATTGGAATCAAATATGATATATCCAGATATTGTATTCCAGATAATATCAAAATATGAACCAGATTTGGAAAAAAACTATTATATCCCTGTCATGATTCATCTTATTGTAAAAAATATTTAAATTTGCAGTACCGTAAAATGGGGTAACTTAGACCACTTTGTTTTTATAAATGATGCCATTTTTTTACTAGCTAAATTAAACTTGAATTGAAACATGCAAAATACAGGTCTATACTCTAGCTTCACTCACCATAAATTGCTGGCTCCTGCCTCTCATAGTCTTTATGTAATTTCAAAAAAAGTGATGGTCTTTGTTACCCCAGCTCTTGGGGTATCTTAGACCAGGTGGTAAAATCAATTATATTTTTTGGTAAAATAACTCCAAATAACTCCAGGTTTTGGTGCATTGTAGTAGAACTCTTCTAGTTACATATGCAAATGACAAACTTGAGGAAAGTGTCATAGTTTGCAAATGGGGGGCACTGCCCCATAATGAGGGAAATGTGACTACCAAATGGCAACCCTGACAGGGTAATATAATATACTGGCTTGGAAAAAAAACTGGCTTGGAAAAATTAAGCTAAAATTACCATGTATAAGACTCTGTAGAGTCTGAAACATAAAGAAAAAACATAAATAGGCTGTCAAACATAAAATATGTTATATATGGTAATTTTATATTAACTTCCAAGCTGGTCTATGTTACCCCATCAGGGCTGACATTAGGTGGTCTAAGTTCCCCCATTTGGGGGTGGCGCCCCCCATTTGCAAACTTAGACACTTTCCTAAAATTTGGCATTTGCATATGTAACTAGAAGAGTTCTACTACAATGCATCAAAACCTGGAGTTATTTAACCAAAAAAATAAAAAAATTGGAGGGGGTACTCTGACAGGCTTTGAATAATAGCTTTTTTTCGTGGGTCACATTTTTAATTTTTTAACCTATTAGATATGCAGACTTTTTAAATCTTTCTATTGTGTTATGTAGCCTCAGTATTAGGCCTTTAATGCCCATTGACAACATTTTTCTATGTCAAATAGTTTTTGAGTTTTGGGGGTTTTTGTTAAAAAAACGAAAAGTGATCTAAGTTACCCCGCCGGTCTAAGTTACCCCATTTTATGGTATTAATTTATTTGCAATTAACATACATCTTTTTTAAGGAGGAAAGAACATAACAGCATAAGTCAATAAACAAGAGAAACACTCAAATGAGATGGCAAAGACTGCAATGCAGAAAATGTTCAGAAAGAACATGCAGATGAAGACAACACAACCAGTCAAGAAATGAAATGAGATTCATTTGTGAACCATCAATCAACCTTTAACAATAATGATCCATCCATAATGTTGGCTATGCACTAACCTTTGCTGTAGGTGCCCGGATTTGTAATATTAAGAGCTTCAGCTCATGACAGACATGCAAGTCTGCAGAAGTTGTGAGGCCTGAGTCTGTGTCATTGTATGCACCACAGCCAGCTATAGGCAAGAGTGCACTGTGGTGTACAACTGCAATCTGTTAAATTTGACAATGAGGCAATAGCATTATTAATTACGAATTTGATATGTACAAGAGAATGTGTCATTTAAGGAAAAAGAATACTGAGCATGGATCAATTGAAGAAAATTATTATTATACACTCTTTACTCTGTAATAACATAAGAAACTTGAGTTTATGATCAATTCAATTATATTTTAAATCTTCCATTGCATTATACTATAATAACACAACAGAATGTTCATTTTCAAACTCAACATGGATTTCCTGACAAATTGAATTACACAACACACTAACAGCTAAATGCCTTACCTGTTCAGTAGGAAGGGAGAAGATTAGAATATCAACAGCAAGCTGGCCAATATTTGCAATGCTTACTGAAGGCTGAAATAGAAGAGAAAAATTGCATTCACAAACATGCAAGATCCATGAATAAAACATATTATGGTTTGCACATTAGAACCTAGAAGCCCTACTCCTGGCTCACCTTTAAAGTTTGGTATAAAGTTATGATGGAAAATTAGGAACTTGAAAAGAATCAATAGCAAAAGATCCTTAAATTCCCTATTTGATACTTCATGGTCCAGGTTTAATATATTTCAAGCAATAGAAAATTTTTGAAAAATATAGTTAGCATTCTTGAATTTTGTTTAAACTTCTTTTTTATGTAAAATTATTTTTTACTGGCAAAATCTTTATTCAATTTCTTTAAAAATATTTTGCCATATATATGCGCAGTTGCAATAATACTTTAGGGATGTTAATATTATTTGCAAGAATTTTACTCACAGACTTGACATGGATTTAATTTTAGATATTTGTGTATAAGACAAATTTTGCATAAAAGGCCATGGTAGCAAGATTTTTTCTATAAATATCTCATCAGCATCATATAGTAAAAACTAAATCTCAATCAGCTCAATGGTCAAACAAGAAGCAGAAAACTGTGCAAGCTGTGATTGCAATTTATTGGGGTCTTCAGTTTATTTATTTTATGGCTACCTATTAAAATAAATACTCAAGCCATGATCCTAAAAAATCCATTTTCTCAGTCATAACATAATAAAAGACAATACTATTTTGCACTATTTTAGGAATCGACCTTAAAAAGAAAACATTAACTTTTAGCGAATAAAATTCAACTAAACTTCCTTTTAGAAAAGATTTTATATTTAAATATTTTTTTTTTAAAATTTAGTAGAATATATATACTGGTACATCATAATTTCATATCAAAATTCATGCTGCGTGACTTGAATATAAGCTAGCAAGCTACAGGACAACAAGAGCCTTAACCAAAAAGCTTTATTGAAAAAGATTGGCCAGATTTAGAATGTTTTTGTCTTATTCATGGGTGGCTTCTGCCAAATTTTCCAGTTAGATCACATGGTGCTGAAGTAGCAGATGAACCAATGAATTTAAAATTTAAAAAAGCAGAGAAATTCATAATTGAACAAAAAATATATGACTCAGTCTACTCTACTGTTGCCAGTCTCTGTGAGAGTGTAGGCAGTAAGCTGCATATGCATAGCCAATAGTGAGAACAATAACTTAAAATTAAAGGTAAGCAGTAAGTTGACCTCTGAGTTTGACATTTGATTTACATATGAATAAATAGATTGAAGTATACTTACCAATATTAAGGAGTAACCAGGAAATTTTCTGGGATCAGTCAGCCATAAAATGTCCATTTCTGAAATTTAGTCATACATATTTACTATTAACGAATAGAGATTGAATGAGCACAGCCTCACCAGCTAAAACTATAAATACACAAATAAATAATAAAACCAGAATATCCCAGTGCCCCCTACATTTTAATATCAATATCAATAAACTACAATAAACTACAATAAACTAACCTGCCGTAGAATGTGAACACTGCAAAGTGCATCTCTGCTGCAACTCCGCAAGAAACTGCTTCAGAGAGTTTCATCAGCGATAAACTTTCTCCATTGCTAATAATGACTGATTGCATTTTTGCTTGCTTGTAGTACATCGATAAAGGGACCATAAATTGTAGTGAAGAAACTGCTACTTAAGTAATTGCTATCTATTTCAACTCCAAAGGAATTTGTTTATACGGTACCTGGTTATTATGATAGGTTAATTATTTTCATCTGTTTATTGTGATAGGGTATGTCATTACATGATAGTACTGTAATGAGTACACTCGTTTGCCCTCAGTACACTCGTTTGCCAAAGGAACTTTGTTAAATGTGATTATATAAGCTAGTGCACTCGTTTGCCAAAGGAATTTTGTAATATCCATATACTAACGTATATACACTAGGTTAATATTTTTTTCGCAAAATAATAATTTTTCACAATAAATGTATTGGTGATAACGATGCATTTCTATGATCCCTAACTCCAAATTTGCCTGTAGGGCCAAGCATTGAATGTAAGATACATTTCAACAAATAACAGCTATAGAAAGGTCGCTACAGTGTTGCAGCCCAATGTCGCAATATCTGACACTACAGTTGCAACCATATACTACCGGGACTCTCTAGTCCCGCTTATAGAATTTTTACAATTAACACATTTTTAATAATTTTTTTACAGAAATGCATTATTTAGTCCTAATTTAATGTGATTCTACAGAAAAAATCAAATAAAAAGTTGTAAAAGACATAGCCGTTACGAAAGGGTTAAAAAATTGTTGAAAATCTGAAAGATTGCAAGCGCACACAGTAGGTTTCCAGTACGTTGGATGGAACAGGATGCAGTGAAGATTGTCAGGAAATCAGTTGCAATGAGTGTAAGTGTTGCAGTGCATGGAGATTGGAGAGTAATGGATATACTATCAAAGTTGTTTGCAGCATTTTCGTATTAAAAATTACCCAGCGCCAGCGACGCATCTCGAAAATGGCTGGCAACATTTTGGGCTAAAAATCCATATCTTGGCAATGCAGTTTGCAAACTCTGCACTCTGGTTATAATGCAGTCTGCTGAGTGTCAACTGTGCTCTGATGTGAGTCATGACTGTCATGTGACTGCAACTATGCAATCATCAACAAAAAATTTTGTATTTACTCATTTAGTCTCATTGAGCATGATATTTTGGCAAGCTTGTGGTACTTAACTGCTCAAGTTGTCAATTCTGTAAGATGACATGTTTGTGTACCACAAATCTCTTCAATCAAGTATTACATTTGAGCCATCAGCTGTAAGGCTTCATACATTCTGAAATATTATATTATGTTAAAGCTGCAATATTTAAGAAAAAAGTAGGACATTTCCCAATTAGCATCACCTTCCCCAACTCCAAGAAACCAAACTCCTATCCTTAACACAACATCTTAAACGTTATGCACTACAAATCAGACTCAGCCAGAAAGCAAAAAATCCAACTCACAATACTCACCCACTACATTTCCTCACCTTACAGCTCCACCCACTGACCCACAGCACCTCTGCCACCTCATGAAACAAACAATTTTCCACAATAACAATTCAGCCTTTTGGGCTTCACCACCAACATACAGGCATGGAATATATCTACTTGGCAAGCCGCAACTTAATTTTTTGAGCCGTGGTTTTATGGATTTGCCAGCTGTGATTCCATTTCACCAAGCCGTGAATTACATATCTTGGCCATGAAAAGCCATTTACAAGGCGTGAATTTATTTACAAATTCCATGCACTTATTACCTCAACTCTCTAATTTTACCCTAAAACAGTCAAACGGCAACAATAAAATTTGTCTTTCCTGTAAGTTGAGCACGTGTTAATGCAGTCTGACCGCTTTGACATGACCACCACTATGCACGATCTTCAACAAAACGTTTAGTTGATTTGTTTACATTACATGATTACGATGTTTATGTTTTTTCTGCAGGATATTTTGGCAGGAACGGTAAAGCAATGCGGATTGTGCAAGTTGAAAATTTTATGAAATAACATGTTTGCAAAGTGCAAACCGCAATTTTTCAATCAAACAAAAATTTATGACATTTGAGCCTCGAAATTTCATACCTACTGAAATTATATGATATTAGAGCAGTGATATTTCAGACAAAAATAGGACTTTTCCAGCCCTGCCAACATACATATTCCATCAGAACAAGCTACACACTACACAGGATACAATCAAACAAAATCTCAGAACAATCCACACTACAATCACAGGAAACTATCTCACAAACCTTGCTCACAACACAATAAAGTTCTAAACAGTCCCACACCAGTGACACCACAGATCCACTCATCCACATCCACCCATCTGAAATTAACTTACCAGACCGGCATGCATACACCTTGTACAACTTCGCACAAACAAACCACTCCAGCACTACTTCTCTCATATCTAAACAAAATACATCCCACCACACACCCTTCTCTACATTGCTCACTCTCTCTGTCTATCCAAAACATAGCTACGAGTGATGACACTATTCATCTTTTCTCCTGCCCTGTAATGCCCACATCCTTATTGCTATTGGTGGGTGACATTTGGGCAAGTGGACCCCCTGAACGCCGCAGGGCTGCTGGCTCGCTGAGGTTACCAACTTGGCTGGCTCCAGAAGGCCAGAACTGGGTCTAGGCGTAAGGCAAGGGTCCCCGCCTCAGGCCTCAGGTGCGCAGCTGTAGAACAGCAAATTAATGCTTGCTCACATCAGCCCTGGAGCCAACATCAACCATCTGAAAGCTATAGATATTGTCATAGATATTGTCACACAGCGGCAGGGGTGGAATACATCTACTTTTTACGGAAATTTTGCGGCCCAAGATCTCCCATTTTTAGGTAAGTTTGAAATCTCGTGGCTCGGAAGTCAGGTAAAATATATTGATTTAGAAATGTCGCGGCTCCAAAATGGGTCACGTGACGTGTGGGGGAAGGGCAAGCCCGCTGTTGGCAGTTGTCAGCTGCAAAACGATAAAGAATATTTCACTGGCTGATGTAGCTGAATAAACGTATCACTGTATCATTTGAGCTCATGTTGTTTCCACGTGCAGTTGTGCAGTGATAACTCCTAAGTCCTAATCCAGTTTCCACAACAACTAGGCTTGGCGCTGGTTGGCGATCATGCATGGTGGCTTGATACCTGTAAGTATTCTTATCATCATATACATATGGCCTTATCAATAGTTTGTTTTGAAAAGAACGTAGATTAGTAGTAGAATTATATTGTGAATGGTCTTTAACATGATTCAATTGTGAAGTTTGGAAGACTATCCCGATTACACCTTACCTTACCAGCCGTATTCTCTATCCAGTGTCCACGAAACTTGGAAGAAATAATATATGATCGGTGTCCGTTGCTTCTTAGCTCTAATGTAGTATTGTTTCAATTTTAAGCCTCTAATCTATGCACTTCTAAATTATTTCTAGAAAATTTCATTACTTGTTTTTAATTCGATGAAAAACTATTGAATAGTTAATGCCGCGTACAAATTTATTGACCAAAAACGTTTACCATCCTGAAATGAGGTCAGACTGCAAGTTTGGTAGTTCAAATTTCGATGAAACCAAAGACACCAACTTGACAGTGCTGACAGGTAACGGTGACTACGCTACTATAGGATACCATATTTTCATAACATGAAAAAAGTTTACAAGGAGTGTTCAACTGTGCGCAAAAACATAATTTATTGAGCAAGAAATGTTTCCCATTGCGATGCAAAGTGCACGTTTGTTCCTTCGATGGAGCGCCTGCCAACTAATAAACAAATATGTTGGTTACTAAGCTAAGCTTCTCGAGTGTTGACCACAGGGAATATCAGTAACACTGCCGAGTTACCTACTCAGTTGATTTTGTCACTAAAGTAAAGGCATTAGGCACTATACCACTCTACATTTATTCTATTATAGGGAAAAGACCAATTTACTACCACCTATCGGTACATTTGGTATGTAGTTTAATATAGCAAGAAATTTATATACATCTAGAATATCAATTGGAAAGTAGCCACTTTCGTTCCCTTGGATATGAAACGTCTGGGAAATACTTATTTACAAATTTGGTGTGACCTTGTCAGTAACAATGATAAGGGTTTTAATTAGCTAGAATTCATACTACTAAAGAACATGAAGACATGCCATTGTACATTTAAGTTTGTTTAGTTGTGGCTTGAAATGTGACTGTTGAGTACATATAGAGGCCTGATGGATAATTGTGTGCGTATTAAAAATACTTGCAGTGTTGGGTATATTTTGTATCTTTTTCAAAAAATATGAAGAGCTTATAAGTTTTATTCTAATTTTAATTTTGGAGTTGAATGAGAATCCCATACTAAGTGAGCCTTAGTGAGGTTTACTGTGGAATGGAATGGGACTTTTTTAAATGTTTATAAGCTACTTTAATTTTTTATTATTAATATCCGTGTGTAGTTTGTGAAAGCAAATCATCATGTGTTTACAAAGTTAGCTACAAGTCCATGGTGTCACTGAGAGCTTGCCTCAGATGCTGAGTCATGTGTCATGAGGACAAGAACTCAGATAACGGAGGTACAATGTCTATAACTGGGTTGGGAACCTTAGTAAGTCCCCGTAGTGTAACCTTAGTAAGTAACCTCCAATTTGAACCATAGCTGCCCTCTCACGATGTAGCTCTCAGTTGAGTTTTCTGACCTAGTGGTAGATGCCGTAGCTTATACCTCTGTATCGTAACTCTCATGTATTACCACCCCGTATCAAGATACTTTTCTCTAAGACAGATTGTGTCTTGGTTATCCCTCACGCCTTAG